GGGGGGGTGGGGGGGTGGGGGGGGGGGGCAGGGGGGTCTCACTGAGCGGGGAGCTGGGGGGGCCCAGGGGCACCAGCACGTGCTGCCCCTCACCCTCCGGCTTGGCCCCCCGCTGCCCGCCCGTCCGCCACGTCCGCCGGTACCTGCAGGAAGGGAGAGCGGTCCCAGGTCAGGGGGGGCAGGCGGAGCCCCCCCCGGTGCCCCCCGGGCACTCACCTCACCACGATGGCAACGAAGAGGGCGATGCCCAGGAGCAGGCTCCCCCCGGCCACCAAGGCGGCATAGGGGGATGCCACAGAACGGGCGCTGGCTTCCACGATGGCCCCTGCGGCAGAGAGGGGGGACGGGCTCGGTGTGGGGACGAGGGACCTGGGGGTCCCGGCCCCCCTGCAGCCAACCCAGGGAGCCTTCCTCACCACCAGCAGCATCATCGGCATCTTCCCCGAAGAGCTCGGGGGGCAGCGTGACCCCGTAGGTGCCATCCTCCATGGGGAACTGCAAGAGAAGGCGGGGGGACGCGATGGGACGGGGCAGCCCTCCCGTCCCGGTGTCCCCTTGTCCCACACGGGGACAGGAGACCCAACCGGGAGCGTGTCGCGTCTCCCCGGGGCTGAGGCCGTGCCCTACCTGCGAGCTGAAGGGTCCCATTTCAGAGGTGAGGTCCCTGGGGTCTGCAAGGTGACGGGGGTCGTGAGGCTGGGGGACCCCGGGCTGAGCCCCCAGCCTCGGGGCCACATGTCCCCCTCCTACCTGTCCAGGGGGTGCCCACCGCCTCCCGGCTCCACTCGCTCCACGTGCCGTGGCCAAACTCCTCCTGCGCCCGCACCTGCACCACGTGCCGCGTCCCCCGCCAGGCGTCACGGATGTCCAGCCATGTCGTCGTCACCTGGTCCACCTGGAGGGGACATGGACAGCGCGGGGTTGGGGACAGCCTCACTGGGACGGGGGGCCAGCCCCACGTGGGGGAGGGGGTCTCATCTCACCTCCGTGAAGGCCTGGGTGGGCTCGGGGCGGTAGCGGACCTGGAAGCGGAGCCAGTAGAAGCGGGGGTCCCAGGACGAGGGGTAGGACCAGTTGCCCCGCAGCCGCTGCGGCGCCTTCTCCAGCGCCTCCACCGTCACGTTGAGGGGGGGGTCGGGCTTCACTGCCAAGAAAGGGGGGGCTCAGGGCCCGGCACCGCGCCGCTGCCCTGGCCACCAGCAAGGGAGGAGCGGCACTCACGGACGCTGCTGAGGGTGATGATCCTGTCTTCGCCGGCCGAGCCGCCGGCGCCATTGTTGACGCACGTGGACACCACGAGGGGTTTGGTGTCGTCGACGCCGGGTGGCACCTTCACCCGGCAAACAAATTTCTGCGCCTTGGAGAAGTAGCGGCACCGCTGCTCCGTGGCGTTCTCGGCCGCGAACCTGCGGGGACGCGGTTCGGCTGGGGCTGTGGCACACACCGGGCATGGGGCAGCCCATCGGGGAAAAGGTCCGCAGGGAGGGACGGTAAAGTCCCCCGCGTCCCACACCGTGGGGTCCCAGCCCCAGGGAGGTGCCGGGATGGCGCTCACCTCCGCTTCACCCAGAGCATCGCGCGTGTCCCCGGGGACGGCTTCGCCCGCAGCGGCCACCCGCACAGGACGTCTTTATCATGGCTCCCCCGGGAGCCGGAAACACCGGGGGTTTCCGGGGGCTCC